TGTGTGTGTCACAGACTTTGAAGCCTTGGCAGAGCTTCCTTGACGTTCAGGGGGAAAAGCGATCAAAGACTTTGCAGGCAGAACATCTCCAGCTAATAACAGGCTATGCATGGAGTGACATTGTTAAAAACACTTCCCTTTTATATCCCTAAAGGAGTTTTATTGAGTTAAAATGATCCTCGAATAGCCTCTGGGCTGAACTGTAAAACACATTTGAAGAGCGTAAAATCTTTCTTTATGCCAGGAATGTTTGAAACTCAAAAGATAAATGTCATTCAGGAAAACAAGCATGTCCTAGGTATTCAGAACGTAATGGGGCACAGCTGTAATAACAGTCAGTGAACCAGAGACTCCCTACATCATGTCATTAGCTCACTTTTAATAAGTCTATCTTCTTGTCCTTTTTATAAGGGCCATAGGGAAAGAAAGAAATATATCATCCCCCAAACATCTGTGCCTCACTCAAATTGTCTCTCTTAGAAGACAGATCTACTTAAGGGACTTGCCTTGGGATATAGGTTGTAAAGTGCACACAACCCTCTCTAAATATGGATTTTATTTAAACAGGGAGCATCACACATCATTTGTGAGCTGCTGAAGACAGTGCAGTGCAGGCTGAGCACATAAATAGCATCAAAGTACCTGCAAATAATCAAATACATACACTGAAACAAAGCTTGGGGCTGAACTTATTCCCTTGAAGCCAGAGATTTCAGGCAAATGAAATTCTGGTTCTGAGAAGGTTTTAACAAGCCTTCCAAGGAGCCACAGAAATCTCTACTTAAAACAGAACTGAAAAATTGACTGGTTCTTTCTCCATTGTAAATGTTTATCCCTCCAAGCTGAAATTAACACTTGGCTTGGAATTTTAAATGGCACAGGGAGGTAAAGATACTGCAAACCCTTCAACACACCTGATGATCCTAATTTCTCTATCTCTACCTTACTTTTGTTCAAAAGGTTATTTTAAAAATAATTTTCGTTCTGGCCTCTTGTAAAACTCTGCAGTGCCTTACTGGTTACTTTCTCATTAAACACACTGATTTCCTATGGCTTTTCATGCCTGAGTTCAATGATTAGGCAAGATGATTAAACAAGTTACATGGCTTGTTCTGCCTCCTGGCTTTCAGAAGTATAAAAGATAAGAGACTCTAGATAATCGAACTACTGCTTGTCAAGGGGAGCTTGAGATGATATAAAGTAGATCTGGGGTTTTGTTATAATTTATAATGTAGCTTTGCATAGGATGCTTCAGTTTGGATGCAGGGGTGGTTGCTCTCTAAGCTTCCTCTAGGAAAAGTCTCTGACAGAGAAAGGAATCAAAATTTTGCAGGTGCACAACTGATCTGTGACGAGGCCAAACCTCAGGGTTAGGCACTTTTAGTCTCTCAGTTGAGAAGCATAATCACTTCCTACAATTAGGAAAAACCTGACATTTCTAGCTGAAATTTAGCCCACAGAAAGCCTTCTACATTTCCTCTGCAGGGATTCCTCTTTATTCTCCAGTTTATTTACTTTTGGCACCTATCTGCATCCTGCCTGAATTGTGTGGAAGAGCTGTGGTGAGCTGAGGACAGAAATGGAAGAAGTTTCTTGTTACAACACATCCCATTTCTTCCTCTGCTGGTGCCAGGAGATGTGACAACACAAAATCCCTTGGAATTGGTTTAGTGCTGACATTGCCTTATTGTAGCTGAATTATCTGCTACCACCTTTTGCAGCTGCCCTGTTGAAACCTTGGGTTAAAAGGCCTGAAGTCCTTAAGAACTAAGCTCCATTTAAAGCTTTTACAGTGTGCTTTTGGTGATCAAAAGAAAGCAATCTATTTTATCATCAATGAAATAAAGAACTGAGACATAAGGGGGAAAAAAAGGAAAATATTTGGGGATTGGCATAAGTAGATTGGGAAAATAAAGAAAATAAAATTATTTTCACAAAACTTTGATCCTAATAATAATTTTGCTAGAAGCATGAACACTGAAACATCACTAAATAATGGAAGGCGTAAGAGTTCAGGAGGATGCACATGCAAAGTTGGTGTTTTGAGACAGAACATTCAGATTGATGTGAAGCAGCTGCCAGGAAAATGCTGTTGCAAAAAGAGGGTCATAGACTTGACCCTCTTGTTCCCATCTACCCTCTACAGGGTTTTCACTTTGCTCCTTCTGCTTGCTCTGCCCCACAGCCCCTCTGGTCTAACCTGGATTTGTGACCCTTTGTAACCCAGACCCATGGAAATTAAACTGTAGAATAAAGCTGGATAAAGCTGTAGAAAAGCTCTCTTGAGACAGCATTCTAGACCTTACAGAGCTAAAAATGTGCTTCTGATATATCCCTTTTGTGATCTGACCAGTGAGGGAATGCAATTATGTTTTTGTAATTATACTTTAAGAGACTGCTTATATACATACTTAAGGTCTAATTTTAACAACTTGCAGAGTTTCTAAGGGAATTCTAATACAGTAAACCAATTGGCATGATCAAGAGATAGCACAATTAAGCCTGTACTAACCCACATCACCTAAATGTACTTAGAGAAAAAATGGGCCATGCATAAAAGCAGAAAATAAACTGCTTAAGCAGCCTGTGGGTTACAGTGAACAGAGCTGCTACTGCCAAAAATGCTTTTGACTTTGCCACATCCCAGGTACTGTGTGTTCCACTCCAAAATCCACCTTGCAGAGCAAAGGCAGCAGCTCTGGGCCCTAGGGAAGCACACTGTAAAGCAAGAGGGAAAGAACTTCCCTGATCCTGCACAGTTTATTTTTTTTTTTGTGCACTGTCCTCAGGTGATTTCTAACTGCTGTGCTGATGAACAGGCTGAAAGGCAACACCTTTGATCAGAGAAACAGAAGCAAAGAGGGGAACTCAACAAGGACGCTCCAAATCACTGATCCGAAAGTCCAAACAATGAACTATAACAGCAACAAATTGAATGGACATAAAATGCAGGTGCCAGGGCTGAACTGGGTGGATTCACCTCTTTCTGCCTACTGCACAGTTAGACAGTGCCCCAAAGCAAGGGGAAATGTAGTGACTGGGGTCAGGAAATAGCCTGTTCTCACATTTTTGTGCCTCCCACTACCGCTGATCTGTGATTTAAGGAGCAAACATACACCCTCTACAGTGAAAAACATTGCAATAACACAGCCCACCAGGAGGATGCCTACCCAGAACAATGTGAACTTGTCTGTGGTTTCAGGAAGACAGAACTGGAAGTATTTTGGGGACATGGTGTGGGATGGGAGGACGTGGGAGGAAGCTTACTGAACACATGCATGTTTTCTGTACAAAGCCTCCTGATGGAAGCTGCATGGAGCACAAGCACAGAAATTGCAGCATCTAGTTCTCTCTCTTCACTGGCACACACTGCTCCTAAAAATTTCACACCCAACCAAATGCCAGGGAAGAGTCGAGATTCTTCACAACTTTCAGATAAATGGAGCCATGTCAAATGAGAAGCAAATGGCAGAACAGAGCAGTGATGACAAAGGCTCGGATCCAACAGCCAGGGCACACTGCCGTGCTCAGGCAGGGCCTCAAAGGCTTTAAAAAGTCTCCACAGAAGGAGAGCAGCCCTTTTGTACCCCATCAACTGTGACACCACGATCTAATTCAGTATTCAGCTCCACACCCCCATCATGTTGGCAATAATACACAGTTGGTGAGACAACTTGTAAAGGAGTTAAAAAAAGGGAAAAAAAAAAAGCCTTGTTTTCAATCTCTCTAATTTAATGTTAGCTTTTTATGCATCTAACATCAAAGCCTTTTTTCACTTCTATTTAATCAAAATTAATCACTAAGATTACTACAGCAATTTACGTTGGAGATTATTGAAATGAGTGTTTTATTAAAATCTAGTTTTATTAATAAAACACATTCTGGCTAAGGAATCATGTGAGCCTGCTATTAGAGACTATTAACTGGGAACTGGGAGTTAATCATAACAGTCATGCTGCCAGGTTCTTTGACAGAAACACACACTGGGTTTGTTTCTACTTTTACTTTTACAGGAATATCCAAGGCAATTAGTCACCCTGGCACAGAGCAAATCCTGCAAATCAGGGAGAGGAAACAAAGGTGCATGTGGCATTCACATTCTCTGAAAAATCTCTTCGTCCAGGATTTTCCCCTGGGAAGCTGAGAAGCCTCAGAGAAAAAGGAAAACAATTACTATCTCATTTGCTTCTCCTGTATTTTGCTCATGTGGAATATGGAGATTGTTTACCACAGGTGATTGTTTCATTGGATTCTGGTGTGAGTTGTTTTCACTCTTTGGCCAATCAGTGCCAAGCTGTGTCAGGACTCTGGGAAGAGTCACAAGTGTACATTATTATCATTTTTAGCATTCTGTAAGTATCCTTTATGTATTCTTTAGTATAGTTCAGTATAGTATTCCTTAATATAATATAGTATCATAAAATAATAAATTAGCCTTCTGAGGACATGGAGTTATCATTGTCATATTTTCTGGAAAAATCCCTTCACCAGGATTTCTTCTCCTGGGAAGCTGAGAAGCCTCAGAGAAAAAGAAAAAAAATATAATTCATTTGCTCCTCCTGTGTTTTGCTGCCTTGGAATGTGGTTTGGACATTGTTTATCCAACAGGTGGTTGCTTGATTGGTTTCATGCCAATTCTTTTAAGTTAATGACCAATCACTGTCCAGCTGCCAGATTCTGGAAGGAGTAGCGAGTTTTTCATTAATATTTTGTTAAGCCTTCTGTAAGTATCCTTTCTCTATTCTTTAGTATAGTTTTAATATATCATAATATAATATAAACCATATCATGTCATACACTATCATGTCATGTCATATCATAATAAAGTAGCCTTCTAAGACCATGGAGTCAGATTCATCTTCCCTCCCCACAACAGGGGACCCCAGAAATACCACATGGAATCAGATTCATCATTCCTTCCTTCATCTGGGAACCCCACAAACACCACAGGTGCACAAACCCCAGCAGCTTGAAAGGAAAGGAAACCCGAGGGGACTCACCAGCCTGGTTGGTGGTGATGCTGACAGCAGCGAACTGCCGGGACAGGGCGCTCAGGTCGGAGACGCCGTTGAGCGCGTCGATCTCGAAGGTGTAGTTGGTGTGTGCCAGCAGGTCCACCACGGTGACGGTGGTGTTGGTGAGGCCGCTCTGGCGCGGCAGGAAGCGCACGTTGTCGCTGCAGGGCTCGCACAGCCGCCCGCCCCCCGAGCACTTCTTGCAGACGATGTTGAAGGTGACGTCCTTCCTGCCCCCCGTGTCCAGGGGCCAGCTCCAGTCCAGGATCACCGAGGTCTCGTTGATGTTGGAGATGACGTTTCTCGGGGCGGAGGGTGGTCCTGGGAAAGGGAAAGCAGGCAGTGAGATTTTCTCCCTAAGGGTGCTCCAAAATGGGAGTAACGAGGGCGCAGAAATATAAAAGTAAAAAAAAAAACATTATTAACCAAACTCTTCTGGTTATTTCCTGTGGAGACTCCTTCAATATTTCACTAGATTACAGACCTAAGCTAACAAGAACCATGTTTTCTTATAAATAGAGAGTTCCCTCAGGGTGCAGTTCAGGATTGAGGGCTGAGTACTGGTAGCAATAAAAAAAATCCTACTTTTCCTTCTCGAGTCTGACAGGGTACAACAAGGAGAAAATGAAATCAGAAAAGGCACAAACCCAGCCCACCAATTTCCAGCAGCCTGTCCAACACTCAAGAAAACACAAGAGGGAGTGGATGGCTGACTGCAGTGGGACATGAGAGGAAGCAAGCAGGCGAGCTGTTGTGGAGGGACGGATGGAGCAGCAAGAATGACAGCCCCGAGCAGAATGAGCTACTCACTGGTGCAAGCCATGGATGGAGGGTCTTTCTCAGAGCGAAAGTAATTCTTTTCACACCTGCAGTTCAGAGATGCATCTTCGTAGGTGGAGCTGTGAGGGGGGCATTTGGCACACTTCACATTGCCAGCAGAGGCTTTGTAGAACCCAGCTCGACAGGCTGCAAAGTAACAGGGATAGAGTTTTAAATTCCATGGGCATCTTGATTCTAACATGAGACTACTGCCCTGGAACCTACCCATATGGGGATCACAGTTTGCAGACATTTATGGTCTAAAATTACAGATTTTTCTCATAATCAGAGCTGACAGAAATAAAATGTCTTGGTAGAATGGAGTTCATGCATCAGCCTGGATTTGCAATTAATTTTGCTTGGAAAACAAAAGAGGGTATTGCACCACTAAGAAGAAACATTTTCTACGCTTCATTTTGAGAACTTTGCTCCTTTTCCTTCTCTTCTGCTTCATTTACCAAAACTTTGGCCCTACCCTGCATAACAAGCTAACTTATCCTCCCTCTGCTGCAAACATTTTCTTACAAGGGCACACTGATTGTAAACTTCATCTCTTCAGTTCATCAGGTCAGGAGCAAGCAAGCCAAAACCAAGAAAATAACCTGAACAGAGAAAGATCTTTTCCATTTTTAAATGATCATGTCAATGAGCTGCGTGTATTACCTGTGTAAAAAAGATTTCTTTTTTGGATTAGCTAAGTCTTTAGATGGGCAGCAGTAGGAAAAAGCTCTGAACAGATATCCCAGCAGCTTTTCAAGTGATGGAGGAGGTAGGAACTGTTATTGTCTATTCCCAAAACCTAAATAAACACCTGGGCAAGGCAGATTTGTTGGTTAGCTCCTGATGCTGCACACCTGAGTGAAATACTCTGGTAAATGGTGAGAGGAAACTACTCTGCTCTTCTCTGAAACATCCTAAAAAGGGACAGCCTCCTCCAACAAGGGACAGCAGCAGGAGCACGAAGGGTTTCACAGGGAAGTGCCAATCTCAGCCTCCCTCCAGCTCTTCCCAGCCCTGGCAAATGGCAGTGCTTGGCTGCAGCTGCTCCCTCCAACTTCCAGACTGCAGCAAAGCAGCTGCCAAAGACAGCTCCTGCTCCAAGTTCTCTCCTGCAAGCCCTGAGGAAACATCCCAGACTCTGAGCCTCTGAGCCACAGCCCCAGCAGACAATCTGTTACAGCAGAACTGTAAGAATTGCTAAAGAAAAGCAGAACTGCTACAAATGACCTTGTGTGAGCAGCACAAACCTGCCCAACCTGGCACAGCCCATCCAGCTGGCACTTCTGGTGTTCCCCTCTCCTCAAAGTCTGCACAAGGGGCTTGGGGATTCCCATTTAACTGGAGGAAATAAAGGAAACCTAAGTCCTTCTTACACCCCTCCACTAGGAGGAAATGCAGCAGGAAACAGCTGGGTTTGGGTTGGTTTTTTGTGTAGCTGTTATTTTTGCAGCCTTTCACAACTCAAATGCCATCCCCTCCCATGTGCTGCCCCATGAGGCACCTGGAGCAAACCCAGCTCTGGCTGACAGAGGAACCTCCAGTGACTTTGCTGCTTCTGTTCCCAGCCCTGAGACAGCAAGCCAGGCAGAAAAGAGGCCAATCCCCTTCTTACCAGCAATAATAACTAACCAAACACAATAAGGAATAAATATCACACTTCAGCTCCCTCATTAATACAGATAACTTCCACCAAAGCTTCTCATGGAACCATTAAACTGCAATGGTTTTGCTTAACCAGCTTGAAGGGACATTTTCACATTTATGAGACAATGATGTATTTATGATTCTATACAGCAGAATCTTGTAATAAATATATATGCTAGTTTAATGCAATGACAAAAAAGAAAGACCCTATAACCAGTATTTTAATAAAAGCAATGAATTTAACACAAGTAAACAAGCTTGTATTAGAAGAAGAAATATTCAGAGGGATAAAGAAGAGAAACTGCCCCATTAATCAATGTCTCTTTCATCCCTCAGGTTAAAAACCATGGACCTCATTTAAGAAAAGCTGGTGATGGTCAGTGGGGGGGTGAGCCAGTCAGATTCCTGCTGTCCCAATGTGCTCTAGCAAGGGCATCCCAATCTCATGTCTTCCCCTCAGGCTGTCTTGCACTTTCTGTCTTTGTCTGTCAGACCAATTTCAGATTACTCACAACTGCAGCCCAAAGGAGAAAAAAAAAATGCATTTACACTTGAAACTGAAGCTCAGAACTGGAGGTGCAATGAAAAACATTGTCGATGTACTTCCTATAATTACTAATCATTTTTTTAAATTCTGATATATAAGAGAGAAAAAATGAAGTTGTTATTTCCAAAGGCATTAATTTCTCTGTTAGACAAATTGGATTACAAGTACTGATAAAAGAAGATTTGGCTTTTTGAGGCAAATACCATGGCTTTGGTTTCAATTAGGTTGAAAAACATCATAGGAATTAGCATAGGAAGTCTTCACAGAATCGCTAATTTTAGCATGGAAACCAGCTGTGAACAGCAGTTGCTTTTACTCAACAATTTCTTGCAAGAACTAAGCACTTTTTCTTTCCCTCACAATGGGGAACAATACAGGAGGAAGTAGATGCAATGGGCCAGGAAGAAAAAAACTGTTAGCACACTAAAAGTGAGTCAAGGAAACTTTGGGAGCTTCTATGATATAAACTTCTGTGATATAAACAGTACAGCAAGGCTGGCTGGTTTTGCTTTTTTAGGAAGATCTCCTCAAGCCTGCTGGCTCTGGTGACTCCTGTGGTAACTTCCATCTGCAGCATTCTAAAACTGCATTTATTCTGATTTCAGTCTCTTTTGTTTGGGTGTGATGTCAGGATGACTATATTGAGTCACCTGTTAGTCAGAATTTCAGGACTCTGGTTGTCCTTGTTGCTGTGTGAAAATGAACTTCCTTGAGCTCTAACTGATGAGTTTGTCTCAGAAACAGAGAGCAGGGAAAGTTAATTCAGTGAGAGGAAAACAAATGCATGCAACAATCTGTGCTAGGTACTGATTAAAGGAATGTGGTTCCCTTTTCTGCAGCAAAGTGAATTTTGCCTCAGCCTGACTAATCTGCTTGGGGTGAAAACATGCTCCTAATTAAGGGTTAAATTATTAATTTAAACTGGAATTCATTTTAAATTAAAACATAAATCTGTTAGCAAATAGGAGCATTTTAGCATTCAGGTCCTGCAGCCCCCTGCACACAGAGCAATCTCAGCAATTCCCAGCTGTAAACACCAAGGAACAAGCGGAGCCTGCACTGGGGATGTCCCAGCCCCAGCACTCCAGGCTTGACAGGGCCCATCTCCTTCACAAGGTCAGGGAAACTTCATTTAGAAACTGCCTGGCACTGCCCAGCCCTGCAGGAGCTCTGCTTTTTGTGCTTTTTAGGCAGGGCTGGAGCATCACAACAGGCTGGAAGTGGATTACACATCCATGGCATGGCTGACCAGCACCCACCCATTGATTGTTTCCTGTCTTTGTTCCTCTGCTCCTCATCAAAGCAGCCCAAAGGTGAAATGTCATTGAGGCTTCAAGGCACAGCCTCCACAAAGAAGGGAATTCAGTCACAAACCTGTGCAGCTCACAGATAACACATCCTCAGAGTGTGCACTAATGAGACAAATCAGAGCAACTCAGGACAAACCTCCTGTGCCAGGACAGGGAAGCATTCCCTATGGAAGTGAACACTCTTAGAGGGGCTTTGCAAACCATTCCCACTGCCCCCTGAGCAGGTGAGTTAATTGAACTAATCAATATTTTAATTCTCATATCAGAACCCATTCTTCACTTCCAGGATTTAGAGAAAGTCCTCTAGTCCCTGTGGGTACATAGATTTGCTTGTGTTTGAATAGCTACAAAGTCCTGAAGTTGGACCTGGTCATCACAGGATGACCTTTGGCTGGGCAGGTGTGTTGGGAAGGCAATCACAGAATCAATTAGGTTGGAAAAGACCTCTGAGACCATCAAGTCCAGCTTATCACTTCCCATCACCATGTCAATGAGACCATGGCACTGGGCTGTGTCCAGTCTTTCCTTAAAATGCTACTGACTCACTTCAATGCCCACACACAGCCTTGCATCTTTGAACTGTTCTCCAGTTCCTTTCGCCAGCGTTAAACAGCTTTTCCCTTATTTTTCACTATGGCACCCCATTCACCAGCAAGTTTTATAAAGCAGGTTTCCTTCAAAACCCCTCAGAGCAACAAAACCATCTTCAGCAACTCTGGTTGTTTATCAGTATCTTAAAAATCATAAATTCTATAGCATTCTTATGTCTGTAGCATCCTCTATCTCTCCTGAGCCTCTCTCTCTGTAACTTCTTGAACACCAACTCAGCCCAAAAAGGCTTCTAAAAATTAGACTGGATTTTTGATTCATATTTCCACTGAACTTCAGGCACATTTTTGTCATCAGACCTGAATAAAAAGACACCACTTAAGTGAGCAGCTCTAAAACCAAGGGCTATTGCTGTACACGCAGAGCAGGCTTTCTCTGTGATGGGCTGTGCTGCTGGCACCTGAGGGAAGAGAAAAATAAAGTTGAGAAAGGCTCTAATGAGGGATAAAAGCTCTTCTTGTGATTGGACGCCATTACCACTACTGTAAGAATATCCCCAGAAAGAGCTAAGGATATTGACCTTCTCTCCTTGCCGGTAGGATTCCATTCTGTCTGTTGAAGAAATTAAAATTCACAAATGATCTTAGTGTGTGGATTCTTGCATCATCCATGAGATATGCATGGAGCAAGTATTCAGTGCAATGTGACACTGAAATGTCTTTAGGAAAACACTCCTCAGAATGAGCACTTTTCATTGTTTAAACCTGAAAGCTTCTGCTAGAACAAAAAAAATAAAAAATCAGTATTTAATCTTCCTCATGAGTAAATTTCTGCCTTTTTCCTCCCCGCTTCATATTTTATAGTGATCTGTGACCTTAACATATTTTAATCAGATGCTTCTGAAATTGGCTTTACTCCCAGGTCAAGCCATTGAGCAGAAACAATTCCTGTTCCTTTGTTTAATAACTGTTACTGGCAGACATATTAATTATATGTACATAAGAGATAGTACTGTCCTGAGGGAACAACACTGCACCTTTCAACCACAAAAAACCCAAAGTCTGTAATAGCTGCACGTTGTGCCTTGCAGAGCTTCT